GGGGGGGAGAAAGAGAGAAAGGGGAGGGGAGAAAGAGGGGAGAGAGAAAGAGTTATTTTATGAAAGATATGTAGCTGCATATTACTAATTGCATTTTTTTTTTAAGCAACAATGTATTTTTATTATACCAGTGGATAGTCTCATAATTCTGTGCATAAAAGTATCAAAGTACAGTTATCAAAATGTGACCCTAAGAAATTAATCCGCATACACATACGACGCTGCCGAAGTCACCATATTCAAAATAGCTCCTATCTTTAATCGTTCACAACATGGCTAAAAAGTAAGGTATTAAAATTTAAAAAAAGTGCATTTTATAGGGGATGCACAATACATTCATGACTCCTGATCGAAATTTCAAGATAACGTTAACCTTCTTTATTAAAAAATGTGAAATATCGCAAAAAAAGCTATTTTTGAAGTATTAAACCTCAATTATCTTGGAAATCCGACGTGCTAGAATTTTTTCGCTTGCGGCATTGTTCTCAGCGTCCAAAAATCTATAAAAAACACGTAATCCGGTCCAAAGTAATTTTTCGCTGTAAACTAGTGTTATCAGTCACGTTGTTACGTAATCTTTGAAAATACAAAGCGACAATTAGCATAACAAATAGGAATGTAATTTAAAGAGATGTTCACAACTTGCACCACGTCGATCTTTATTTGTGTGAATCTTTTTATATATATCTTTCAACAGTCATATATAAATTACCATCTACAACTAAACAGGCCGATGTATATGCTTTTCCAAGATCGTTGTAAGCCATACACGTGTATTCTCCTTCATCTTCAGGATAGACATGTTGGATATTTAATCGTGCTGTTTCACCGTCGAATTCAGTAGCAAAATCGCCTACCATAGCTATAATCTGATAAAAAGTATTATATTAGGTGTTAAACTTAATTCCTGCCGTTTTTCGTCTTCAAAATTGATTTGTTTCGAAGGGAAGATGAGTGAATACCTTAATCAAAGTAATTTCCTCCATTTTCTACTTTATTACTAATTAATAATACTTTATTAATAATACTTTGATTAAGGTATTTCCTTTCGAAACAAATCAATTTTGGAGACGAAAAACGGCAGGAATTAAGTTTAACACTTAATAAATGTTATGTTAGTTTATCAGCTATGTATATGCGATTAAGCATTTAAAACTTTTATTACTTTGCCTCCACGTTCCCAACGAACCAAAGGTGGTTCTGGTGTGGCGTAAACCTTACACTCCAGGGAAACAGCGTCGCCGTCGCAACACCGAAGATCTCGCAATTCTCTTTTTATAATCGGCAGAGTCAATATCTTTCTATAGAGTTTAATGTTTTATTAATGGAACGAAAATAAATAAAAACGTACATACGTCATTAAGCTGTCGTAATAGCTTACCCGTGAGGAGATTTCTGCGTTTGTTTCTCTTTGCCTTGTCCTGGAAAAGATCGTTGAAATAAATTTATATAATGCAAAGCAAATTTTGTTCATGTCTCGAAATTTACCTTTGGCAAAGATTTGCAAGGAAATTACAGCTTTAGTTTCTCCATGGCAGTTGCGAGCTATTACGGAATATGCTCCAGTAAAGTCAAGTTTAGCGTAAGGTATTTCCAACCGATATTGTGGCCCTGCACCTACCAGCCGGAAGTGAGGTGCGTCCTTATAATAATTAGGCTGTAAAACAGAATTCATATGAAATACATTCATATGATAAAAAAATTAAAACCTGAGGATTTAAGATCATAAATACTGCAAGCAAATCCAACTGAATCAAATTTCGAATCGTGTTTACTGTTTCTTATCAATGTTTGCTCCGTTTTCCTTTATTTCATATACACGAATTTCATTGCTAACCGTAACATACTCGGCCACAAGTGCGATTTTAAATTGTTGAGGCATAAAGAAGTAGTGATTCAAAAAATCTTTAATTAAACAATGCGAAAACAATTTTGATATTAATATCTTTGCAATGATAATGTCATTCAATTTGACAGTATTTAATTAATACCATAATAAATAGCAAGGATGTATCAATTTGAATGACAAGTTGATTTAACGTGTCTTCAATTGTGATAACTAGTGCGTAATTGTATTATGCTCCGCGCGCGCGCGTATCAGATAACTTTAATTTATAATCTTCAATCTCCAATGCATAGTATGACACAGGCATTAGATCATTTGGATATCTTCTGGTGAATGTATTCAGATCACGTCTGTGTTGTATTGACAGACTAATTTTTACGCAAGACGGAGTTAAAACTCAGCGTGTGATGTTGGAGACGATGAAGA